CAGGAATCCAAGTGAATCTCCTACCCGTCTTGTTCCTGCAGCGACCACATTGTGAGGCCTCAGGTCCAGCAGAGGAGGGGACAGTAGGCCAAGTGACCTTGGGCATTTTACTTCCCCAGGGGGTCCTCAGCTTCCTCCTGCACAAGAGTCTGGGATGACATGGGGGACCTTGGCGTGAGGGAGCTGCCCGGCAGGGTCTTTGCTGGTTTGGGATCCTAAACAGAAAGCCAGAGCCTGGGCAGTTCATGCACAATGGACATTTATTTTCCATGGTTCCAGAGGCTGGGAAGTCTTCGATGGGGGCCGCAGCGGGGATCTGGGTCTGGCCAGGGCCCGCTCCTCAACACCAGCAGGTCTTCACATGGTGGAAGGCAGAAGGGCTCCGTGAGCCTCTGTGAGGTCACTAATGCCACTCATGAGGGCGGATTCCTCATGGCCCAGTCACTTCCCAAAGGCCCTACTCCTTAATTTTCTTCTTTCTTTATGAACTGGAGATTGAACCCAGGGGTGCTTTACCACTGAACTGAAGCCCCCGCCCTTTTATTTTATTTTTTTGAGACAGCTCTTGCTAAGTGGCTGAGGCTGGCCTTGAACTTGATCTCCTCTTGCCTCAGCCTCCCAAGTTGCTGGAATTACAGGTGGGTGCCACCACACCTGGCCTAGGCCCCGCTTCTTAATACCGTCCCCACGGGGTCAGGTTTCAACATACAAGTTTTGGGGGACACAGCATTCAGACTGTAGCATGCTGAACGAAAGGATGCTGCCCTTTCCTTCTGTCCCTAATGCAAGTGGCCACAGTCTCTGCTCTTTCCTCCCAGACATCCCCAGCACTAAAGTCCAGGGGTTCTGAGTTGCTGGGCCTCAGTCCCCCCATCTGCACTGGGTGAGGGCAGATCGATGCCCACCTCAGCCCCTGTGGGGCCTGGTTACCCAGACCTTGGGGTTTGGTGGCGTGTTCAGCCCGTGGGGCGCCTCAAGTCCCCTTCAGGTTTCTGGACCACAGAGAGTGGTTCCCAGTCCCTGTGGGAAGGGGACTGAACTCCTGCTCAGGTGGGCTTGGGCCTGAGGGGTGAAGGTCCTTCTTTGACTTGAAGGAAGTCACAGGAGAGCAGCGAGCCAGGAGGGCACATGGCAGACGTGACCAGGCTGCAGGAGAGGTGGCATGGGTCCAGGGAACATTGAGATCCAAGGGAAGGACCCTCAGTTTATTTGGGGAGGGGTGGTGGAGGGGTAGAATTCCTGCCAGGCAGGCCAGCTCCCAGCCTAGCTCAGAGTGAAGGATGAAGCTCACCGTCGGTGAACCACCAGTTAGAGTTTGAATGAATGTACAGCTACACCCCACTGCCCACCCCCACAAGTTGTGCCTCTACAGATGGGGCTACCCACATGAGCACAGTGACTGTCAGGTACAGCCCCAGCCAGAGCCTCAGCATTTGCCCAAGATGGCCCAAGCCTGGCCGTCTCGGTGTGACCTTAGGATAGGGGCCATGCCTAATCCTGCTCTGGGCCTGCTGGGCCCCTGGCCCAGTGCTTCCTACCCCAGAAGGACTCAATGGTTATTTACCTCAATGCCTGCCGGGGAATTCTGAGGTAAATCCCATTGCACTTGGGGAATCCTCACTCAAGGGACAGTTTTGGTGTCAGACAGTCTGGGTTCGAGGTGTAGCATAGCCACTTATGAGGAATGTGTCTTTAGACATGTTACTCAGCCTAGTGTTGGCTTTCTCCTATATAAAATGTTTTGAGGATTAAATGAGCTTATAGTGCCTGGCATTCGGTAGATGTGGTTAAAGGCTTGTTGTTTCAACTGTCATTTTGATTTCTGTCCTATTTCCAAATCCACATCCCAAGACCTGTTGTGAGGAAAACCTAGGCCATCTACAAAATCACTTGCATGAGAAAATTGATTCTTCTGCCTCAAAGATCCGCTAGTGTTTTCGTTTTTTTTGTAATATTTACTTTTTAGTTTTCGGCGGACACAACATCTTTGTTTGTATGTGGTGCTGAGGATCGAACCCGGGCCGCACGCATGCCAGGGGAGCGCGCTACCGCTTGAGCCACATCCCCAGCCCCGCTAGTGGCATTCTTTGACAGATATTCCTGGGCAGTCACTTTGTGTCACCTGTAACATATCTGGAGGTGGCAATGAAGATAATATGGGTGTGGACTGGGACATAAGCTGACTGTTGCATGGGCTGGGAGGGGCAGGGGGCTTCTTGGAAGAGGTGACATGAGTGGCATCTTGAAGTCAGAGTAGGAGTTGGTCAAATACAGAAAAGGTGGGGGGTTTGCTAAGGGTTTGTGTGCAAGCTAGCCCCGCCCACCTTGCAGGTAGACACAGATATGCTCTACCTGTAGGTCCCGGGCTTGCAGGGCTGTGGTCAGGGGAGGGATGTGGTGAGACTTGATTTGGGGGAAGGAACCTGGCTACCGGGTCGGGATGACCTGGAGAGGGATGAGAGATAGGAATGTTGCCCAGCAAGGAAGGACATAGAACAACCATCAGGTGAGGCATCTCTGGGAGATGCTCTGGGGATGCCGCCATGGTGATTGTAACCTATGAGATGCAGGATGAGAGGGGAGAAGGAAGGTGATCCTGGGCCAGGGCACGTTGCTGGAGGTCATTCCCGTAGCCGGAATGTAAAGGAACAGAGTATAAAAAGTGTGCTGAAAGAGCAGACAGGACAGAGGGAACCCCATAACTCACCAATATCCTCAAGGAAATTTTCCTCTCCCCATCTGCTTGGGTTTTCTGGGCAGAGAGTTTCGAAAGATCGTGGGACATGGATGAGCTGGTTTGCAGACAGGACTAGGAACTGCAGGGTTTGCTGCCTGTCCTTCACGCGCCCCACTTTGTTCTTGTGTACCCGCTCTTTTCTGTTTGGAAGGACGTGGGGGATATTGTGAGGATTTAAAAAATAAAATTCTGAGGCTTACCCATGTGGATTTAGCGTGGAGGTGGCGGGGGTGGAACTGACGGCTGCCTGGGGTGTCTGCTGCCCCACAGACCCTGCAGCAACCCCTCCTTCCAGATGCAGCAACCTTGAACCTTTTGGACTCCCCAGTCCCCCTAAAATGTGGCCCTGTCTCCCTGACTCTTTGGAAGCCAAATTTCCTGACCCAGGTGCCTGTATCTATTCTCTTCCCCAACGGCCCAGGCCATGGTGGCTTGCCTTGTGACAATGGAGGTCTCAGTGGCCAGTGATGGAGCGCCTCACTCTTCCTCTCCAGAGCTTCGCTTTCCCGGGGTGGCTTCCAGGACCCCCCACTTCCCTGTTGGTTTTTTAACTTTTCTTCCACTCCCCTGTCCCCAACCCTGCTCACTCCTCTTGGCGGGCATCTCCCTGATGGAACTTCTTCTCCACCTCACCGCCTTCCTCGGTTCTCGGGTCCAGTGGCTGCTATATCCCCTCCTCTAGCCTCTGGCTTCCCCCTGAGCTGCAGACGTGTGTTCCCCACAGTCTGCACCCTCTGCCAGCTCTGCAGGTCTCTGTAGGCACCTCAAACTTCACCTGACCCACTGAGCTCCCCATTTCTGCCCAGTGACCTGTTCCTCCCGGCTCTCCTCCATCTTTGTCAATGGCACCATCGTTCATTCATCCAAGTGCTCAGCAGAAAACAAGAATCACCCGGGATACCACCCTCCTTTTAAAATTCTTCACTCTCAAACTCTGTTCTGTAGTATTCGATATAAATATTGTATTAGCCGTGTCTGCTTGTGATACAGCATCCTATAAAAGTGCTCATTATGGATCTACCCACGGCTGGGGACCTGTGCCCTGCGTCCCACGGTGTGTTTCTGCCTCTTCTCACCCTGCCACATCCGTTCTGTGGCCGGCTCTTGGCTCTGCCTTCAGAAGATCCCACATTTCACTAGCTTCTCTGCCACTACCTAGACCCCACCACCACCGTAGTTCTCTGGGTTATTGGAGTAGTGCCATCTGACCCCAGAAGGATCCCCTCATGCCGTGACTTGTATCTAGTTCCTCCTCTGCGCAAAACCGCCTTTCATCTGGCTTGTGGCTCTGTCAGGCCTCCGTGGCCCCCTCTCACCTCTCTGCCCCTCACTGCCCAGCTCTCTGCCCCCTTCACCTGCTCTCCTTTGTTTTTCAACACCACCTCGAGCTAGCTGAAATCAAACCTACATTTTCCTACCCCCTACTTGTTCCTTAAGTAGACTGGAAATGCCATGTAACGTCTTCTGTATCAGACATGACGACTGATCATAAAAGGGACTTGAGAATCTACGGACTATGTGGACATCGGGGTGCATACCTGTGATCCCAGCTATTTAGGAGGCTGAGGAGGGAGGATCCCAAGTTTGAGGCCAGCCTGGACAATTTAGCAAGACACTGTCTCAAAATAAAAAGGGCTGGGGATGTCACTCAGTGGTGGAGTGCTTGCCTAGTATGTGGGAAGCTCAGTGTTCAGTCCTCAGTACCACAAAATAAACAAAAAACAAGGGGAAAAAACCTTAACGGAGTGCCTGAGCGTCAATATATAATGTGAAACTTTGTGCAGTGCACAGGTGAATGAATGAATAAGTATACAAGTGAATAAATCAAGGATGGGTTCTGTGTGCAGGGAGATGACTAAGCCCTTTCTTCCAGGACCTCTCAGTTGTTGTAATTATATTTATTTTCATTCCACCCCCTCCCATTCTAAGTTGAAGTTCATTGTTTCTGATTTCATTTCTCCTGGTAGTTTTTTTTTTTTTTTTCTCTTTGACTCACATCAGTGGGAACTTGTTGCTTAGATTTTTTAAAAAATCTGGATAAAAGACAATGAAAACGCTAGACTGCTGTCCATGTGGTTGTTCCGAAGACCAGATGAATCTCAGGATGAATAATTCTCAAAATTAATTAAACCCTCCTTCCCAATTATAAGAGAGTGAGGAGGAAGTTGGTTGCTGGAGAAGCCAGTGGCAGCGCGAATCTGGGTCGGCGGCTCCCGGCTGGTTTGGGTGCAGTGTTGGTGAACGTCTTTGTCGTCTCCTCCAGGGTCGCCACCCGGGACTATGAGCGGCTGAGATGGACATGTCGTCGGCCCCAGCCACGGCTGCCGAGAAGAAAGACGTCAAAAGTGGGATCCTGGAGGGCAGCGGTTTCCCCGACCCGGGTAAAAAGGCCTGTCCTCTGGCGGTGGCCGCGGCGGCCGTCGCTGCCCAAGGAGGTACTTTCTGTTTTGCACACTTGGCGAGCCGCGGGGGTGTTTTTCATTAGCCATTTAGGATTTAATGAGAGTGGTGGCCCCTGTCATCAGGGAGGCATGCTGGGTTTATGGAGGGTGGCAGAGAGGGCGCCCCTGCTCCCAGGCACTGCGAGGACAGTCGCCTGCAGGTTTCCCTGGAGCTCTGGCCACCTCAAACCCTGGGGGACCTGGACTTCCCAGATTCTTGTGGGTGGGCGGAGCCTGAGCATGGGGAGGGGGAAGGGGGGGAGCAGCCGGCTCTGTGGCTCTGGGCGACCCTGGGATCCGTTCAGCTGGCACGTTTGAGAGGTGCCCAGAGAACTTGTTGCCGCGGACTATTTTGGAAAGTAATTGTCTCCTGATGCCTTCTGGCTGTAATTAGAGGGTCAGGTCTGGAACTGAGTATCTTAGGTGAATTTCTGGCCAACTTAATTATAACAGAAGGGACTACACGAACCACAGTCTCTTATTTTACTGCCCCAAAGAGAAAGGCTTTCTGGTTTCCACGGGTCCGTGCCAGCATCCCGTTGGGAAAGTTTGGCGGGAAGGCGAGACCTCCCCTTGTGACTGTGCCGTCCATCTGGAGGCCACAGAACTATTTCTGTCTCTGAGGAATGGAGAGTCTGAGATTTCCTTTCTTTCCCTTTTTATTCAAGTGCATTTGGATTTAGTCATGCCCTGTTGCTCTCACCGCCCAAGAACAGCTCAAAGCGCAGGGAGGGGCGGGCACAATCGCGGGGGTGTGGCTGGAGTGCAGGCTCCGCCCCCTCAGCGAGTCGGGGCGGGGCTCAGATTGTGCCTTTCTCTGAAGCGCTGAGCTGATGCTGGGTCGCGCTGGTCCGTGGGCTGCAGCCAGTATAGCTGCGGCTGGAGCTCAGGGAGACGGAAAGACTGTCCAGGGGTGTGTGTGTGTGTGTGTGTGTGTGTGTGTGTGTGTGTGTGTTTGGCAGGTGCTGGGAATTGAACTTGGGGCCATGCACATGCTAGGCAAGTGCTCTACAACTGAGCTACACCCCCAGTCCCGAGTTCTTTTCCTAAGAGTGAATTTGAGGACATCCAGGTTTTTGTTTCTCTATTTATTTTGACTTTCCTTGTGATTCCAAGTTGGAGTCATTTGGGGGATGTGGGTCCAGGTCAGAGGAGGGAGATCTGAGGTTAACTTTGGGGCTCCCTGTAGGAGGTGGGTATCTGGCATCCTGACCTGGAGATGTCCTGAGGTTCCTGTCCCCCCTGAACAGGGACTCTCCTAGCCTGCCTGTCGGCATAGAGGCAGAGCTCTTAGATGCTATGGGAGGAGTTGAAGCCTCCATGGCATCTGGTGCCAGAGAAAGGGAAGAGTGAGACCGGGTGTGGCTGAGCCGGAGTCCTGGCCATGCTTCCTTTCCTTGCCTGGGTCAGTGTCTATGGCGATGCCTCAACTCGTCCCTCTGTCTGGTTCTCTGAGGCTGAATGAGCTCCTCAGAGCTGGGCCTCAGCATATCTCTGGCCTGCCCAAGGGACCCACCTGGCCTGCCTTGGTATAGCATGCAACGCGATTTACTGCTGGGTCCTAGCAGCCGCGAACAGACTTAGGTAGCAATTAGACAGTAATTAGGATGCAATCTAGGGAAAAGCCCCTGTAGCGCCAGACCTGGCTGTCACTCTTGGGGCAGTAACAACAAATGCTTCAGGGAATTTCAATGGGGGAGATGGAAATTCAGAGCCCAGCCACCCCAGAGAAAGCCCCTGCCCCCACTCTGCCCTCTGGGACGCCTGCCCTGCCCACCGCAGAAGTGCACGTCCTATTGATGGCTGGCGCAGGGTAGCGTGGCTGGTGAGGCTTCGCACAGGGTGGACTCCCCCTCAGGAGCAGGAGGCAGCTGGGTGTCTTTGCAGCAGTCTTGGGCCGGGTGCCTGTGGTGCTGGAGAGTCTCGGGGTGTCCTCATCCCTGCACCTCTCCCTGAGCAGTTTATTGGGAAAAGCCCTGGAGCCAGGGAAGAGCAGCTGTTTCTGCTTGGAGCAAAGTGGTCACTGAGGGGTGGTGTCCTGTGCTGGTAGCTTTTGTGACTGCACTTGAGGGTAGGGACAGGGAGGCCTATTGGTGCATCCAGAGGGTGCTGCCCAGGCCCCTCCTGACCCATGTCGTGAGGGGATTTGACAGGTGTCATCCACAGAATTTAAGGACCTCTATCTTCTTAAATCTCACGGGATGGTGGCAGAGGAGCTGTGGGCCAGACTCCAGGAGCGCTAGGCACACTGGACTCCCAGAAAGCTCCAAGGAGCTTGTAGCATGGGCCTGCTCTGCCTGCAGATGAGGCGGCTGCAGAGGCCAGGTGGCAGCAGGTAGCTGGTGCGGGTGGCCCTGGTGAGGAGATGCCTCTGTGATCAGCTTGATCTCAGTGGTTGGTGCTGGGTTCAACAGGAGGGGCACTGAGCTGTCTTGGGGTGTAGGGATGGGCAGGGAGTGGGGCTGGGAAGGAGAGCAGTAGGGAGCAGCCCTTCTTGCCCCAGCCCCTGTGGCTATCTGATCTCCCCCGCCCCACACGGCACCACTTCCAGATGCTTCCACTACTCCCCCAGAGTCAGATGCCTTTGGTTGGTTCTAGCAGGGAACCTACCTTCAGGCAGAAAGAGTTCATTTCCACGTGGCCCACATCTGAAATATTGGAACTAACCTAACTATTCGGTGATCGGGGACTGGTTGATCCAACTGTGGAACATCTGGAATGGAATATTTGATATCCTTTTTGTTTTGTTTTATTTATTTATTTATTGGTGGTGCTGGGAATTGAACCCAGAGGCAGTAGACCACTGAGCCACATCCCCAGCCCTTTTTATTTTTGATATTGAGAGAGGTTCTCACTAAATTGCTGAGGCTGGCCTCCGACTTGCGATCCTCCTGCCTCAGCCTCCCAGTTGGTGGGATTAGAGGCGTGCACCACCATGCCTGGCTGTTAGGTATCTGTTGAAAGTGCTTATCAAGACCTCATGAAGGCTCTAGAGGGGTCGGGCCTGTATTCTACAAGTGGCCGAAGTGGGATGCAGCTGATGACAGGCCCCGTTAGGAGTGAGAAAGAACAGGAAGGGCCTGAGTGAGGAGGCAGCAGGCCCCTCAGGCAACGCTGGGAACCCAGGCGGGTGCTCTGGGTGTTGGAGTGATTCACGGTGGGCACAGCCTTTCCTGTGTTATAGACAAGACGCCTGGGACTTGCCCAAGGACAACAACTGCCTCGAGGGAGAGCTGAGTCTGGGTGTGGCCCTCCTGCCTCTTACATGAGGGGAGTCTCCTTCAAGTGTAGTCATCCCTCATTGACCGTGGGGGACGGATTCCAGGACCCCAGGATACCACAGTCTAAGGATGCTCAGGGCCCTATGTCCAATGGCTTAGTATTTGTACATGACCTACACAATCTTCCTGCGAACTTTAAAATCATCTCTAGATCACTGATAATACCGAATACATGTAAATGCTATGTAAATAGTTGTTTATAGTATATTGTTTAGGGAATAATGGCAAGGGAAAAAACCCTACATGTTTAGTACAGATGCATTCTCCCTCCTCACTCGCTGAAGGTCTCCGACATGTGATGGGTTGAATCTGCTGATGTGGTATCCCCAGATACAGGGAGCTGACTGCATGTTAATTTTAAAAGTTAATTTTTTCGTGGCACATGGGGATTGAACTCAAGGCCTCAGGCATCATAGACAAGTGCTCTACCACTGAGCTACAGCCCCAGTCCCATGTATTTGCTTTTAGATGATTACTTTAGTTTTGGGGAGTAACTGGGGCCTTCATTTGGACTCGACCCAACTCTATACTGTGGGGTAAGTGCCAGCCTTGGAAAAGTCTCCATGGGTCATTGCACCCTCTCCCCGTGACAGTAGGGCCCTCATTTGTCCCAGAGCCTGGCAACACCTACTCTCTTCCAGATAGCCAGTTCCCTGGGGTGGGGGACCATGGCATATCTGCCAAGTCCCCTGTCTTACCTGGCCTCTGCTGCTTGACCTCCCTTAGGAGTCTCTGAAGCTGGGCCTGCTGGAGGCTGGGGGTGTCCATCAGTCTCCACCTCCCTGAGCCAAAGCGTGCATTGGAAGTGTCTCTGCAGAGCAGGACAGGGAGGCCCCAGGAAAGAGCACCACGGTCCCCAGACTGGGAAAAGGGGCAGCCGCTGACAGGAGCCAGGCAGGGTGGCTTTTTCCCAGCTCCTTCAAGCTGTTGGACTCACACTTTGAAAGCCGTAAATCTTTAAAAACACATTTTGGCCGGGAGTCCCTCCCCTCTCCCTTTAATTTTTAAAATAGTGTAATTTTAAAGGCAATTTGATTCAGATGTTTCTTGTTGCTCTACACTGAGACCGTCCAAATGTTGTTGGATTTTCCTCTTCCACCATGGGTTTGCTTTCCAAAACTATCGCTGGACCTCTCTGTGGGCCTCAGTGGACCCAGCCACCATCAGAGTCAGGGACGATTGCAAAGGCTAGAACCGTGAAACTCAGAGCCAGGTCTTGATCTCAAGGGTTTTGCTGATGTCTGAAATCCAGCAGCCAGACAGGCTTTGGGAACCCTGGGAAGCGCTGCAGGGCCAACACCCAACTTGGATCCGGAGCATCTCCTCCGTGCCAGGCCTGGCCTCCTCCCCACATGCTCTTCCCCAACGTCTCCTGGGAGTTGGTGCTGGGGATGGAACCTGGGGACTCGCTCTATCCCCAGGCCCTGGGAATGCTAATTCTTGGGCCTCACCCCAGACCTGGCCATCCTTGCCCACTGACTCACTGAGGCCAGATGTTACTCTTGATACCAGCAACAGGAGCCCAGGCTGGCAGTCAGACTGGGGCTCGTATGTGCATGGCTGCGCTGACCTGCGTGGTACCCTGGCCTCTTGATGTGGCCTTCTACCTGATACACAGGGTGGGGTCAGCCCAAGGGTTACTGAAGTCAGCTAAGCCCGGGAACCTCATGAGACCACTGTAAGAAATGCCAGCCCCCAGGCTGCCCCAGGGCG